GCTGTGTAGGGACCCAGTGCTGAAAGAACCTGCCTGTGCTTGCACTTGTGCTTGCTGCTGGGAGACTGTTCTGTTAGAGGCAAAAAGAAAGCCTGAGAGAGGTTTTTCCAGCATGCTTTCCATACAGCTTATTATAGCCATGTCTTCCCTGGCTTATTTTGAAGGGAAGAAAAGGCTTAGGAGGCTGACAGTTATTCTTGCCCTGGGGCGTGGGGGAGGTGCTTGTGTGAACCTTCACAAGACCCTGAAACCAGGACAAAACTCACTGGCTCAGGTAATTGAAAACTGTATGAGCAGGAATTTTCCTTTCATGCCTAAAGAGCTGACACTTGGCTCTAGAATGCTGATGTTTCCCTGCCTTTCTAGTCACAAGTCTCTTACTGACTTCCCTCGTCATAACAGCAGTCATTTGCTGAACAATCCCCTTCCCCTCCTTCACGTGGTGATTTCCACTCTACCACTTACGACATCGTGATTTTTATTTATTATTAGGTCTTTTAAACTGTTCTTCCAGTGTATCGTGGCTCCTTAAAACAGCCTACAGACATTCTAAAAAGAATGATTTTAAAAAAGCTGTCACGTAATCCTTACTTATCCTCCCCCAAAAGAAAAAAAACCTTTAGAGAATTTTCCCCTGACTCCTGCATCAATTTGCTCTGCTGCTTTTTGTGCTCGACTTGTCAAGTGTCTGATGACCTATTGATGTGAAGATGCATTTCAGGAGTTGGTGAACTGATTTCTGATTGGTAAATACACTGATTAGTGTAATTATATACTAATAATATTTAGATTGCCACGAAGCACGGGGTATTTTTCCTGGCTTGCTGAAAAAGGGATGTTTGTAGTTAAAAAAATGGAGGTTCTTGCTGGAAAAGGGATGTTTGTAATTAAAAAAACAGAGGGTCTTGCGGGAAAAGGGATGTTTTTAGTTAAAAAAATGGAGGTTGTGCTGCCTTGTTCTCAAAAGACTATTGCTGTCCCTGCCTGTGAACTCAGCGAAAGGTGAATTCATTTCAGACATTAATCCAGGCAGACTTTGCAGGCACAAACTAACCATCCCCTCGAAACTCGTGTGGGTTGTTCTGTCCTGAAGGATCCCAGCGAGGAAGGAGAGCCGCGACGGGAGCGAAGTTAGCGCGAACCTTTGGGGTGCGCGGAGCCCGCGGAGCTGCGGGAGCAGGAGTCGCTCCGCAGATGGTCCGTGGCTGCCGGTGCTGCCTGTCAGTGCCAGTGCCCAATGGCAGCTCCACAGGGATGGGTTCAGCTGGCGGGAGCTCTGCGGGGTCACACGTCAGCGTTGCACTACGCATGGCTGAGTCAGTGGCTGAGGAACTGAATCGAATTAATATCTGGGGGTTGGCGTCTCTCCACGCGTAATGGGCTGCGGTGGCTTCTCCTTGACGGGAGGATGATGGAGGAGGAAGTGAAGCTCGCTGGTGGTGCAGTGAACTCCTGAAGAAAGGATGGAAACATCAAATATGCTGAACTTAACAAGTAATGCCAAAGGATGCTGATCCGGCTCTCAAAGCTGCCTTGTTGGAGGGAACAGAATTCCTTTGTGCTCTGATTCCGAAATTATTTCCCTGCTTTTGTGTTCCTTCCCTGATAGACACGAGAGGAAGGTGCGTATTTACCAGGAATAATCTGTGGGCATTATTCAGGAGAAGAATGAGGAGAAGGAAAAGTACTGTCCTTTGTGTGCACAGGTCAATGGAAATGTCATCTGCTGACAAAGAACAGACTTCAGGGGGAGGGAGAGGGGCATGGGCATTGTTGTTGTGTAAGTCCTGGCAATGTGAGCAGAAGAGATTTCTTCTTAAGCCTTAGAGCATGCTATCTGCAACTTAGTGTAGAGATAAAGCTCTTTATCCTGATTCTACAAGTGTTGATTATGTGATTCATCTTGGGAAAGGGTTGGATCTAAGTTTGTATTTTAAGAAGAGCTGATACAAGTTTTAGAGCATAAAGATGGGGGGGAAAAGGGTAAAAATCTTGGTTAATATTCTAATGCTGCATCCTTTTATTTAAGGTTTCAGGGGGGTCTGGGGGTAACAAGTATATTGGTTTAGCACCATAATTCCGTGTAGGCAAGAGGTGATTTTATAAAACAAGTGTGTTTATTGGCAGAATTCAGTGGGATGCACATGCAGTTTTTGTATTGGAATACATGCTAATTGTTTTTGGCAGTAGATTAATTCAGTTTAATGACTTCTTTTAATAATTAGTAATATATTCTGAGCAATATGTTGTTATGTATGAAGACAAACTGAAGCTCTCCTTCCACAGATGACTCCAAAGCATCATTAAATTGAAGAGCATTTACATTTTTTAAAAACAGCTCTTCCCTTACTACAAAAATAGGAAGCTTAGCAGTATGACAAGTGTGCCATTTTGATGGTACTTTTTTTTCCCTCCTTCACATCATATTAAATGGGTTTGCTGAAATAAAATTTTAGCTTATTTCATTTTCTTCATGTTGCTTTTAAAGAAAATGCCTCATCCTTTTACAAAGGCAGAGCTTCCCTGATCCCTGTGCGAGGGGGAAGATAAATTCTGCCACTGACTTGTCTTGAATGGGTGTAGTGCTCATGGTCCAATATTCCTTTGGAGCCAGGGAAAAAAAATGTGTATTGAACTCATGAAGATTGCCTAAATATACTAATAGTCACAGGATTATTTGATTGTTTTGGTTTGGGTTTGATTTTTGCTTTTGTGTTTGGTTTTTCCCCTCCCTGGAGAAAACTAATTGATAAAATAAGACACTTCCCTTTATCAACTTTTGCATCCTAAGTGGTCTTAGGTATTTGGGGCTTTTTCCAGCTTTAGTGAATGGGGAAATGAGGCTGTGAGTTTAAAATGTTGGTTTGGTTCAGGGTTTTTTTTCCTTATGCTTTTAAATTAAATGCAATGTGTTATTAAATATGCAGGAGAAAATTTTGCTTATAGACTGGTGCTGTGCCTCAAGTGGCTCACACAGCACAGTGTGCAGCTGGTGGGCATCAGCTGAGGAGTTAATTGAAAGTTGACTTTGCAAATGCTCCTTTGCAGAGTGAGATAGAGATCAGAAGCTGTAATGACTTTCTGGGAGGCTTTAGGCAAGGCAGAGTGCAGAGCATCAGGGAGTGTTGTAGGCTGAAATTACAGGTTGATATGCTGTGGCAGCCAAGTGCCACATGAGCCCCACAGCTTCCCAGCACATCTCTTTGTCTGCTGTTTGAGAAGTGCTGGTGCTGTATCTGGTCTGCACAATGCTTCTGTCAGCCACAGTACTTGTGCAAAGGGGCAGCTCTGCTGTGGCCAGTGCTGTGTCCCTTGGTGGAGGAAGCTGTGTGGAACTCCCTCCTCAGTGCCACTTTGTCTTGCCCACGTCGCTGGGGACAGATCTGCAGTTAGTCCCTCACACTACTGGTATGGAGTGAAGGCTTTTTGCCTTTCCCTGTGGAAACAGCCTCCTGGCCCCAGCAGCTTTGTTAGAGGGGGAAAAGATGATGTTATCAACAAGCATGCATGCATGTCAGAAAAATCAAAATTAGTTGGTAGTTCGGATGTCTTCTTTTGTTTGAACACTTGCAACTTCTTCTAAAGCCTCTTTACAGGGAAATAGTCACAGGTGATGTTTTGTATGTACTGGCCACAGATGTAGCTCTTTTTTCAGTCTGATAGAGAGCTCAGTGACAGTTTTCTTAGTCAGGTATTTCAGGGCAAGCCAGTGACTGTCTATTCTGACATGCTGCATTCCACCTATTTATCTTCTCTTTGTTCAGATTTAAGCTCATGTTAGTTGTCTTGTTATTGTAGAGCAAAGCCACATTTCAGTGGTAATATTTATCCAAGTGCCCATGCTGATGGACAAATGGAACTTGAGGTTTTGTCAGGTATATATCCAACAGATCCAAGAAAGAAATAGTTTCTTGTGTACTGTAACTTAGCAGTAATGAGATTTAAGGTTGACATGTTAGGTGGCTCTTCCCAAGGTGAGTGAAAATTCATGATTCAGGTGGTGCTGTCTCTAGCCAAACTGTGTGAATTCCCTGAAATCTTGCTTGGCTTGTATGTTGTGGCTAATAGATGCTGTGCCAGTCTCACAGTTTAGCACTAATCTGTGCATTAAAGGGAGGAAAGTACAACACAGAAGCAAGCAAGCAGAAGTGTCCCCAGTTGCCATACTGGGGCAGTCTCTGTGCCCAGTGTGTGTGGTCCTTGCCTGGGGCACGAGTGAGGATGGTGCCAGCTGAGTCAGTGTTCCTTCCTGTAGCACCTGTTCTCAGCTCCTGCAAAGAGATTATTAACTAGGGTTTGCCCCGTTTCAGTGTGAACTCTGAATCACTGCTCAGAGGGTGATGTGGCTTTAGATGGTTTTCTGGATTAAGAATCAGATTTTAATTGCCTTCTCTGTTAAAGGGTAACTCGTGTCTGCTCTGCCAAAGTGCATGGTGAGCCTCCACACCCTGACAGTGGTTCCCTTTCCTTTGCTACTGTGTTCTCCTGATTTGAAGCAAACTGAGCTCTTTAGCTACTGAGAACTAGTGAGTCATGCGTTTTGGTACTATGAATTGTGGCACCTGCGAAACTCTGACTTCTCACAGCAGGGTTAGAAATGTTATCAGGTCTGGGATCACAGTGCTGCCTGAACAGAGAGGCCTGATCACATGAGGCTTTATTAGGGTTTGTGGAAATGTTTTGTCACTGGATTACTGTGTCTGTGTTTGAGCACCACACACATACACACCCCTTTTATGGGAAACCTGGTTATACCATGGTCTGCAAGTATAAATGCACAGGTGAGGTACAGATGGTTTTTTAAAAAGTGACAATTTACTGGTTTAGCTGCAGTAGTAATGAATATCATCATGGTCAAACTAGGGTCAGACTTGGGTTTCAAGTTTAATTGTAGGCTGTAATCCACATCTCTGATAATGTATTTTGTATGTATATGTGTGTGTGTATATATATATACAAGGAAAGGTGCAAAGGTTTTCCTGAATTGTTGATGTTTTTGCAAGGGAGGTTTGCAGATCTCACTTGTGTAAACCTTTGCACATTTCACTTTCATAGTAGAGAATTTACCTTCCTCTAACAGCCAAGTAAAACAGGTAAAGAGACACGTTAGCCATGCTGAAATGTTACATATCTTAATACCTTCAGAATTGCACTGGGAGTCCTGAGGAAAAGACTGTTTTCTTTTAATGAAAGTAGTTGGATCATCTTTATTCTTGGACTGTAAATCTGAGTGTTCCCAGCTATAAGCAAGGCTTGCAGTTCTTTTACCTTATTCAATAGACCTTTGGCTGACTTCACATCCTGAAGATACATGTCTTACTGCAGCATATTTTAAGCTTGGCAGGAAACAGGATTGCAGTAGATTCTCTCTGCACCAAACTTCTGCTTTATCTGACAGGAGATCCTTCCCTCATTCCAGTGGGATGGGGAGAAGCTCATGTTCCTTAGCGGGAGTCTATTTCTTTGCATTGTGCTAAACCCTCATCTCTCATGGCCTTTTTGTTCTGAGTCAAGCTTCTCTCTTATCAGTCACTGAAACCTGAAGCCAAAACATTTCATGCTAATGTTCATTCTTTTGAATAGCCTTGATCATTTTTTTTTTGTCATTACTTCTAAGCAGCCTGAAAAGAGGACATTCTGCTCAACCTGCTTGTACAGTTCATGCTTTTAAAATCTGTTGTGCTTTTCTTAGCCAGGTCATCATTCTTACCTCTTTGTGTTGTTGATTCCTCCAGCATTCCTTGCAGTGTTTAAGGTCTCTTGGTAAAAGTCATGGGATTTGCAGGCTGCCGGCAAGTGGAGCATTGAGGCTCCTCTGGGAAATTCTGGCTCTTCTTGGTCTGTCAGACCTTGTAGCTGTGCAGACGTCTGTCTGGGTTCCCCAGTACCTGAGGCTTTGGGGAATTTCTTCAGTTAAATCCATAAGTGAGGAGTGTTGTCATGCTCACACTGGAAAGGTAAAGAGCAAGGGAACTGCTTTAAGAATTCCTGTGGGCTTCAAGGACACAGGCCATAAAATTCTCCCTTCTAAAGAGTACAAACAAAAGTGAAGTATTTTTTGTAGTATTCAACAAGAGCTGGTGCAAGTTGATACTTAGTTTTTAGGTAGTTAGAGAGATCTTGAAACTGTCTAGTTTTGTTGGTTGGTTTAATAACTGCAAAATGTAATCAATATCTGCAGTAATACAGCTTAATCAGAATCAAAAAAATGTTGAACTGGTATATGAAAATTTCCTGGTTTAGAACAAATGTCCTTGTTACTGACAGTCTGGTAGATTATGGCTTTAATCATACAGTTCATATATTTGCTGCCTGCCTGGGTTGTGGTGGCTCACTATTGTTCCTGCTAAGAATAACTGAATACTCAAAAACCAGTGTGCAGAAATAAACTCTTGGCTGGTGTGTCTTGATGTATCAACTGGTTTAAGGCTGACTCCCTTTGTAAAGGGCAAGTGTCAGTGCTAAAAGTCTGTGGCCTTGAGAAGAGTTTTCCAAAATAGGTTTTATTGGCAAAAACTTTTAATTTCATTTAAAAATAAGAATTGAAATAAAATGCTCAGTTGTATTTGAGTTACCTGTTCTGGAAGGCTCAGCTGATCAGGTGGTGTCTCTGTAGATCACAGCAACAAACAGGTAATTCTTGCTGTCTCCTTAGTGTTCTGAATAATTGTTCACGTTTTTAAATGAGTCCAACAAAGGAAATGGAGGTGGGTGATCTTGGAAACATTACATGGACTGTGAATGCCTTGAAAATGTAAACGTGTAGTGTTCAGCATTTCGGAATTTCTGAACCATGTCTCTTATTTCTGTCTTCAGCACCTCATCTCGTGTTGCTAAAGGAGTGGACTGCACGAAAATGAGTCTCCATGGTGCGAGTGGTGGACACGAGAGGTCGAGGGACAGACGCAGGTCGAGCGACAGATCCCGTGACTCGTCCCACGAGAGAGCAGAATCTCAGCTCACTCCCTGCATCAGGAATGTTACTTCACCAACCAGACAGTATCATTCTGGTGTGTTCAGATCTGGAGCATTTCAGGGTTAAAATTCTCTACACTTGATTTCTGTCTTGTTAATAAAATTAAAAACTTCATCTGTTGGTGACACAACGTAGAGATTTCCTACCTGTGCCCTGGGCTGGAAATACTCTTTTTTGATAGGTTGTAACTTTTTCTTCAGTTTATAGTGTGTATTCCTTCATGATGCTCTTATTTAGTTCAAATCACAAGAACAATCTGACTTTTTAAAGAAGATAATTGACTAAACACTTGTCCTTTATTTTGCTGGGTCTAAGTATTTGGAAATAGGTTTGTTTTCTTTCAAATGACAAAACGTGGTTTGTATCTTTGAACTACAGCCCTAAGCACCAGGTGTGGTGCATAGCTTACACTTTAAGCTGAGTTGCTTTTTCAGTACTAAAATGCTGAATTTTCCTTGTAAAGACTGGGGAGGTGAGGTGGCTTTGATGTCTAAGTGATACAAACTTCAGGATCTCATATATGAACAGTTATTTTTTGAAGTTTTCTTTAACCAGAGTAGATTCAACAGAATAATTTGTACTTAGCATATCAAGTTGACAGGTTTTGTACCTAGAAGGACATAAAATGCATAGAACTCATGCAAACCTGTAACTTCCTTTCCTGTTTTTTTTTCTTCTTCCACCTTGTCCGCACTAAAGACCGAGAAAAGGATCACAGCTCATCCCGACCAAGCAGCCCTCGTCCCCAGAAAACATCCCCAAACGGTTCTGTTGTCAGCATGGGGACCAGCAGTAGGAACAGCAGCCAGTCCAGTTCAGATGGGAGCTGCAAGACTGGTGGGGAAATGGTGTTTGTGTATGAAAATGGAAAAGAGGGAGCTCGGAATGTAAGAACGTCTGAACGAGTAACGCTCATAGTGGATAACACCAGATTTGTTGTAGATCCTTCTATCTTCACTGCACAACCTAATACAATGTTGGGCAGGTTTGTATCTGTTCCTTTCTTGCCTTCATCTCTCTTGATTAGAGCCATAAATGCTTTGTAGGTATTTGAACTGCTGAAATAGCTGTTGAACTCATATTGCTACAGCTGAACTTGCTGATGTTTAACGTCACCAGTTTGCAATGGCTTTAAGTAAAAATCAGATGGAAGTTCTCTGTTTTTGGCAGGGAGGCCAGTGGATGTCTGTTACGTAGAGGAAAGAGTTCAGAAGTAAATTAACATTTCATGATGTACTCATTTCCTTCTCTGTTGCTGGGCACTGTTTCTGTATTCAGTCTGCTTCATTCCTCCTCTTGTTTTTAAAGCTGTGACCTTCATAGAACAAAGTGACGTAGTGAGTACAGATAGTCTCTTTCAAAATAGCAGGGAGGAAAACCTTGAAGGAATTTATTTTGCTTAATGGACCTGCCCTGACAACATTCAAGCTCAGCCTATTTGTCTTCTGAAATGCTTTTTGGACGAGGGAATGGCAAATAGTATAACAGACCTGAGCTCTCAGCAGAGAAATGAACGCTCAAAATGGGCAACAGTTGAATGGAAGTCCACAATGTGTGTGAGATTTGCTGCAGAAACTGTAATGACCAACATATTTCACATGTGTCCTTGGTGGGCAAAGATTATGTACTTTTACTTGCTTCAATTCTGGTTGGGTCTGTGTTTCCCAAACACAGAGAGCATCACTTACAAACTCAGGGCAGGAGAGAAAGGCAGGTTTATGTCTGTGTCACTTTGGATTTGGCTTTTTCAGTAAAATGTGGCTATTTCTCAGCACATAAACATATACTAATTATAAGACATAGATATATAAATCTGTTTGCCAAGATACAGGTAATAAATATGATGAAACAATTTCTGCTCTGTTTAAATCACCACTGTGTGGGATCAATAGCACCTTGGTTCTCTGCTTTGTGAAGAGATGGAGAAGGGTCACAGGGAAAGCAAAAGGTGCTTTCTCTGAAACTCTGAAAGGAAATGTAATAGTTCATATAAGTCATTAACTTAAGGCACTTGTATATGTACAACACATGTAAATAAATACCCAGACAGACACACTGGGAGTGTGTCAGTGTGGAGTTATGCAGCCAAATAGTTTCCTTTCCTCTGCCCAGAGTAAGTGGTGCTGCCTAATGCACTGGATTTCTTGTGTCTGTGTGATGCTGAGTTAGTCTCCCTTTGGGATTGGTTCAAGGCACAAGCTTATTTTTATCTCCTGCTAATTGAAAAGTAGGTTAATAAAGGCAGGGAAATACTGCTCTGAAACACGAGTTATTTATAAACCCACTTTCCCTCAATGTCAGCTCACAGGACACTGAACAGGAACAGCTTAGCTAATATGTTCTGGGAGGTAAAAGTAACTATAATAAGAATGTATTACATCCCCTAAGCCTATATCCTGTTGGATTGCCTTTTCTAAATATTACTTCTTGTCCTGAAGAGTAGTCAGAAAACACCTGTCAAATCACTGAGTGAGAAAACTTACTTGGCTTCTGCATTCTAAACACTCAGTTCCACCAACTCTGCTGCTCTGGGTCATGTGTATGAGGGCAAAGCTTTGCCATGGGGGTGTGTTTGTCAATAAATCAGTAGATGGCAAAACTTTTGGTAAGCATAGGATACAATTCTGTATCAGAGGTGTCTTTGTAAATGTTACATGCTGTTAGAGTCTTTTAGTTTTCTCCTTAGTCTAACTTTCCTTGCATCCCAGCAGGGAGAAAAGGCTGCACATGCTGCCCTTAAGTATCTCTCCCTTCCATCAGAAGTTATTGCATCTTTGGAATTAACTAAATCTCTTCAAGGAAACTGAGTCACATGTACTTGAACACTGTTCTTTTTCTTACCTTACCTGAAATGGCTTTAAATAATGAGAATTTCACCGAGGGAATTCACCAGGGAATGGCCTGGTCTAACTCTTGTTTTGATCAGAGGGGATTGGCATGTTCAGACTGAAGAATAGAACTAGACTTCCTTGAGTTACACTGCCCTGCTTTGTTTTCTAGTAGTCCTGCTAAGCAAGAACTAAACTGAACAGTGTACATACATGTGACATGGAACAGACCGTTTTTTCCCTGCCATTTTGGTACTATTTGTGACATTTGACTTTTCTGATTTACAAAAGAAAAGAAGAGTCATGGTAAGGAATTCTAACCAGATTACTTTGATTCTTGTGCAGGATGTTTGGGTCAGGCAGAGAACATAACTTTACACGTCCTAATGAGAAAGGAGAGTATGAAGTTGCTGAAGGAATTGGTTCCACTGTGTTTCGTGCTATTCTGGTGAGTTTTTAGGGGCAAGTACTGGTAGGACAAGTACTGTGAGTATTAAGAGGCATCACTTCTGGATTCAGCCTTGCTTACATAGCTGGGCTCTGGGGGTGGCACAGATTCTGCTCTGCTCTGTTGTAGAGGGGGAAAAAATACTAGATATGAAACCCCCTGGGTTTTCTAGACATGAGCATGTGACAGCCAGGGAGAGAGAAAACACACAGGAAACGAACCCAAAAGCTACTGCCTGCCAAGAATCAGTTCTCCTTCTCCTGTGTGCAGTGCTTAGTGCAGCTAACAGGGCTAAAACAAACTTCAGTGTGAGATGAAAACGGCCCCTTAGGTATTTCATACCCACACAAAGAAGTGGAGCTGCTGTGCTGCTGTTCAGCAGACTTGGAGTAGCAAGAACTGGGTGAAGTACAGAGAAGAGGCAACATGCATGCACGAAGGTGATCAGTGGTAATAGCTGGCACTTAAAAAAATGATTTTAACCAGAGCTCACTGCTCTGAACTCAGCTCCAAAAACATAACTTTGAGGGCAGTAAGATTCACAGAGTTTAACGTGTTGCTGTCTTTGGTTTATGGGGCTTCTTCGTGGAGAAAGGATGGTAAAAGAAATGAGATGTTTCTGCTGGTGAATGCTGCAGTACATTCTGGTTTTGTTTGCATTGCTGTAGGATTACTACAAGACTGGAGTGATTCGCTGTCCCGATGGGATATCTATTCCTGAGCTGAGAGAAGCATGTGACTACCTCTGCATCTCTTTTGAGTACAGTACTATTAAGTGCAGAGATCTCAGTAAGTACAGAATCGATTAAAATAATCTGAATTACACAGATTGACTTAAGCAAATGTGTGTGTGTGTGAATTCCAAATCCTGTCCTTTCCTGAAGTAAGGAATGTGGCTGACACTGCATGAACAATCATAGAATCAGCCAGGTTGGAAGAGACCTCAAGGATCACGAGTCCAACCCTACTGTGGTTACTAGACCATGGCACTAAGTGCCACATCCAGTCTCAGCTTGAAAACCTCTTTGTCTCTTGTGTAAGAAAGCCCCAAAGCTTTTGGAAAATGATGTCTGATATTCAGTGCCTCACTCTCTGCTGTGGGCAGCCCCATGAAACACTTACACTCTATTGTTGCATGTGCAATACAGATCCAGTAACATTCAGTGGTATCTGTTTTCGCTCAGGACAAGAGAGGATAATTTTCTCAATGCCTTGCCTGAGTGAATCAAGCTGTGTCCCTGGCCAAAGCAGCACAGCTTTACTGGTGGGGCAGGGTGCACCATGGCTCCCAGCATGTCCTGCTCTCTTCTACTCCTTCTGACCCTGAGCACAGCCAGAGCTTTGGCCAGTGCTGAGCTGTCGTGGCCTGTGATGCCATGGTGTGTCCAGCACAGGCCCAGGCTGTGGCTCCCCTGCAGGAAGGGCTGGGTGGGGATCTGTGCCTTCCCCAGCAGTGCTGGAGCACTCTGTCCCTAGCAGAGGGATTTAGCAGCTCATGCTGGGAGGGCTTTGAGAGGCTTTGTTTTTAAGCTGCTGCTCAGGAAGTGTGGGTTGTGTGCTCTGCTCTTTCAGCAACTGGCTTAAATAATGTTTCTTTCAGGAAAGCCAAGGGGAGTCTTGGACAAAATGCTTAGCAGTAGTAAAACATGAAGGAGATCTCCTTGAAGTCACTCCTCTGCCAGTTTAGCATCTGCAGGACTGTGCTGTTAGTTAGGAGTTCTGCTGTGGCTTCTGGTAAATATTTGAAAAAGTTGTGAATGTAGACAAACAAATAGACTAAGTGTCTTTACAGCTATGTGCAGGAAATGCTGCAAGGTGAACAGAACTCTTGTGTTTCTTATTCCTGCCTTCATCTTCAACCTTTCAAATGTGGCCACACTTAAATTTTTCTTGCAGGTGCCCTCATGCATGAACTGTCAAACGATGGTGCTCGCAAGCAATTCGAGTTCTACCTGGAAGAAATGATTCTCCCACTGATGGTAGCCAGTGCCCAGAGTGGGGAGAGGGAGTGCCACATTGTTGTGCTGACAGATGATGATGTTGTTGACTGGGATGAAGAGTATCCTCCACAAATGGGAGAGGAATATTCACAAAGTAAGTGTGTTGCCATTGTTTGCACCGAGCTGTGCCGTGGCAGTGAATGTGCTGATTTCATGGTGGTTGGTACATAAGTGCTGTTAGCCAAGTTTTTACAACATCTCTAATGCCTCACAAAAAAACACCCCAACTCTTAGTATGGGTAGTTCTGCTTAATATTTTGCTTCACAGTTGCATGTTATGTTCAAATTAATTAAAAAGAAAAGTTAATATTATTAAGGTGTTGTCAGCCAACGGGGGGAAAGGAGATACTTGTTCAGAAAGAGTTTGGTGAGAAAAATGGGTAGGAGTCATGTTTACTGGGGGAGAACAAGTAGAGGATTTTTTTGGGGGAGAAAACAAGTGGTGTTATTTTAGGAGTATTACAGTTGTGTGTAGGGATGAGTTTAAGCACCTGTGAATGGAATACTCTTCCCTGTGTCTGTGCTCTCCATGTCCCTGAAAATGTTCTTCCAGTGTGAAAATGTGGAGTTTGGGGGTTTGTGAGGGTAGGTGGGAGTTTGAGATACTCTTTGTACTCCAGTAATACATAATCTTCCCAGAAGTCTCTTCAAATTATTAGTTTTATTTCTTGGTTTTTTTTTTGGTTGCTGTTGTTTTTCAATTCAAAAAACCTAAAGTACCAACACAAAAAGATGAAAGTTTTGGAGGATGCAAACCTGCAGCTGTTCTCACAGAGTCACACAATTGGCTCAGGTTTCTAGGATCTTTATGTCTCAAAGATGTCAATTAAAAATACCCCAACTCTGTGTAATTAGGCACACACTTCCCTTTTCCATCTCTACTCTGCATCTCTGCAGCTGTGTGGGATTGATAGCCCCACTCCCTTCTTGTAGGGAAGGTGTCCCTCTTGTTCTGCTGATGTTTTTCAGGACTTTTATCAAAAAGGAAAAAAAAATCAAGAGGTGTGGAGGTTGGGAGTATATAATTGTGGTTTGTTCTGTGAATTGACCTCTTGCCTTCCAAAAAAACCAAACCCCAAACTCTAAATTTATAAAACAGATTAAATTGAGAGGGGGAATAAACCATGTGCAACCAACCCATTTCACAGTGCCTTCAGCCACTGCTCTCCAGAGTTCTGGGTCTCTATTCTGAAACAGAAATACTCGAGTAAAGCCAAACAATGGAAAAGCTGAATTTCTGTGTTTTGAGGCAAGAAGCCTAATACTTGAATACAGATGTTTTCTCATTAAAATGTATTTTCAGTTATTTACAGCACAAAATTGTATAGATTCTTCAAATACATTGAAAACAGAGACGTGGCCAAGTCTGTCCTGAAGGAACGAGGGCTCAAGAAGATCCGTCTAGGGATCGAAGGTAAGGGCAGCACTGCACTCACTCCCTGGGGCTGCACTGCTCTGCTCTGGGGCTGGAAAAACAAGGGTTGGGGTTGGATGGCAGAGAGGGAATGGCACCCAGTGAGCACTGGCCCAGCTGGAGAGCCCAGTTAGAGGCTCCTGCCTGGTTCCGAGGTGGATTTGGCTGCTGCTTTAGTTTTCACACAAAATCTCTGCACTTTGTTTGAAGTATCAATGCATTTTTATGGCTTTCTGTATTGTGTTCCTGGCCTGGTGTCCTTTTCAGGACATTTCCTGTAAAGTGGCAGTCAGTATTTTCTGTCAGGAGATACGAAACTATCAAATGGATCATTGGAGTGCAAAGAATTACTGCTCAGAAATAAAGATCTTGTGAGTTAGGAGGTTGGTCTGGAATATCTCATTAGGTAGGCTTAGGTTTTTATCAGGACTCTAAGAACTGGGTTTCTTGGCATTACATTCTGCTCCTGAGCAGTGACCCAAATGTTTTCAAATCCAGCCTTTGTGATTTGCAGCATTTCTATCATTCACTCACCAAGTTGTCATAGTTACATTTGCAATTTGCCAGTCAAAAGGAAATGCTTTTAACTGGTGGTGAGCTCTAAAAAAAGTCATTTCAGCTGAAGAAGGTGAGAGCCTTCAGGCTGTCAGGCCTCCAGCTAGGCAGGAACTGGCTGTGTCTGTAGTGCTGCTGATGGCAGATCATTTCTGATGGCATTTCTTGGTTTAGACAAAGAACTGTTGGACCAAACTGTATTGCTGCTGCCCTGTAATGATGTGTGAAAGGAACATTATTGCTGGGGCTGAGGGGAGAGAGAGAACTTGAACCCAACATAACCAGAACTCACAGTTTGTCTAAAATTGATGCCTTTTCACCATTTGGGAAGCTGGGAGGAATGTGCTGGGATTTCACTAGGGAACTTGAACCAGAGCTCAGAGCGAGACTGTTCTCTGCTGCTGAGATCTCATCAGGGCTCAGGGAAGGAGCCATAGTGTGGCCTGTGAGGTCTGGAAGAGTTGTGTGGTGGCAATGTGTTTGTTATCCCTGGCACTGTAGCCTTTCCTCCCACCTTGGTTCGTGGTTTGGCTGAGAACACCACGAGGGTGTTGGTGGTGAGAGCTGCTCCTCACCGTGCTCAGCCCTGACGTGTGCTGTGCTCTGTGCCTTAGGGTACCCCACCTACAAGGAGAAGGTGAAGAAACGACCAGGGGGAAGGCCAGAGGTGATCTACAACTACGTGCAAAGGCCTTTCATTAGGATGTCCTGGGAGAAGGAGGAGGGGAAGAGTCGTCACGTTGACTTCCAGTGCGTGAAGAGCAAATCCATCACCAACCTGGCGGCGGCGGCGGCAGATATCCCCCAGGACCAGCTGGTGGTGATGCACCCAACCCCCCAGGTGGATGAGCTGGATATTCTGCCCATCCATCCTGCCCCTACTAACAGTGAGCTGGATGCTGAGGGACAGAACCCACCGCTCTGATCCAGACTCTGCCTAAAAACTAAAGCATGCTCCTTCCAGTGACTGTACTCAACTCATTCTACACTGCAAGTCCAGTTTTTTCCATTGTGTAACAGTGTTTAGGATATTGCAGTCTGGACCTTTGAAAAGACCAAAGGGAGTCCCTGGTGGTTTTTGGAGGAGTACAGATCAAACACCTGGGTTACAGTTACATACGTGTCCGTGTTTACCAGTAGGTTTGTGGCGTTGGTGATTTGTATGCTGGACTGTCCTCACTCTTAACCCATCCTCTCCCAGGGGGATGCTGGTGGCTGCTGTGCATCAGTGTTGTTACACAGGGGTTAGAATGCAGAGTTGGAATTGATAGTAGCACTTTACAAGTGGTTGAGAAATGGAATTTGAAGCCATTTTTTATAAATGTATTGCACAATACTAACAAAGTGCTTCTATCAAAGGTATTAACTGTACATAGTTTTGCTCTGAATAGATTGACCCTTTTCAAGTTACTGTATATGGTTGAGCACAAAACTACTTCCTGCTGGGTTTTTGGATTGAGGATGTGATTCAAGGACCCACGTTAACATCTTGTTCAAGTTCTTTAGTGAATTTTTTCACTCGTTTGCAGCGTGAGCCATGGTCAAAACTTGTGAACAACAGATAGGGGCTTTATCTTCAATTTTGCCTTACCTTAAGCTGTTCACAAATATTTATTTAATACATTTTTCATAAGTGTCATGAAATAGGAAAATGCAGATGGTTCATTCTTCATTTATTAATGATTGTAAACAAGTTTTTCATGCAAATAAAGTTTCCATTATTTTAACGGGCTTGAATTATCTGTGAATGATGAAGTGGGAAAGGAGTTGCTTTTCTTTCCTCAGGCAAGGATGGTTAATATTAAGTGATAACCAAGTCTTTTCTTTCCTCAGGCAAGGATGGTTAGTATTAAGTGATAACTAAGAATTTCTTAGGCTGATGTTACCAGGTTCTCTTTATTTCAACCTACCCACCCTCCCCTAGGGCTTTTCTTAGTGTAAACTCGAAGCTAGGGGTAAGTAAAAATAGCTCCTCTCCAAATGTAGACTGTGACAAAGTCATGTGAGTTTATGGTAAGGCATTTGTTTTTCTTTCTTGTCCCCCAAGGCTAAAAAAAAGCTAAATACCAACTGCTTCTAGCATGCACCTTCAGCAGGGTTTTATCAAATTTATTTATCAAAGTAAATGCTCCATCTTAGAACAAGGGAAACATTTATTTTAAAAATATTTAACTGTCTAATACATTACACTTTAACAATATTTATAGTAAAGGATTCTTACAAGAAAGAATAAACAGCTTTATGGTACAATTAGTATAAGAAATATCCACATGGGGACTGTTTTGCAGTGTAAAAACACACCATACATCTGAAATGGTCATTTGCATATAAAAGCTACCACTGATGCCAGTGAGTCGCACAGTGATTTAAAAAAAAAAATTTCAAACAACAGAATCCAAAATATACAAGTATTGCAAGCTATACACAGCTAACCAAATCAACACAGAACACTGGAGCAAGTTATTCCACTTTGTCTGAAGTTACACATGGTAGGATGAGTTGCATTCTGACACAGCTTTTATGAAATTCCCACATAAAAGCTTCTCAGTCCAACACGTTTCACAGACTGTAGAACTCCACCAGTAAATGCACTTTGAGATTTGGGTGTCCAAGTCAGGTGGTGCATCATTTACAAGGGCCAGGGCAGGTCACTGAAGTCCACAGGGCCCCCCAGCCCTGCATCTGCCTCCAGGAGACTCATGATCACAGCCATGGCTGCCTCGTCGTTGCTGGGGCTGCTCGAGCCCTGGTCCGTGTCGATCATGTCGATGCCAATGTGGGAGTTCTCCCCTGAAGGGCAAACACAGGAGGCACAGCAGGTCACTACTTAGGAAGTGAAATGCCCCAAGGACACTTGTGTATGACTTGGGGTAGAATATCTGAACGGGCCCAACTCTTTGGGGACTCTCAGTGTGTTTCAGGGGCTCACTGCCAGCTGGGGGCAGAGGAGACAGGCCAGCTCACTCCCAATGTGCCTGAGAAGGACAACCTGATGTGCTGCACTTCAAATAGGAGACTACATTTCAACATCTAGGGGTCAGCCTAACCTTTCCTCTTGGCTGCAGTTGTTTGAAAGCATTCACAAAAAGCAGGTGAGGACTTGAGATAATTCACACTGATTCAACAAGAAAAAAAGAGGCTTCCAAGTACTATCTTAAAAAAAAAAAAAAGACTCTATAAAGTAATTGGCAAAATAGGCTGCCAGGCTCCTCCTCAGCAACATGAGTGCCTGGTGAGGGGCTCTGTGCCTGAGCTGCAGATGGTAAGAGCAAGTTACTGCTAGAAACAAGCACCTTGTGACAGTGTCTGTGTCACTGTGTGACTTCACTTACCCAGAATAGAGGAGTTGTCGGAATATGGGTAACCAGAACTATCCTGGATTTGCCCAGAGAGCAGCCCAGCTGAAGAAATGTCTGGAGTGCCACCATTCAAGATCTTGAAAGAACAAAACAGAAGCTAAAAACAGCATGAAATGTTGCACTGAGTCCTAAATTGTCCTATATTGGGATTTTCAACATAAGGTAGATTGACTTCCCCAAAAAACCCCAAACATCATGACTTAAAGGCTGCTTAATTAGACTAGATGTAAACTAGGAGTTACTTCTCTGTACTGAACCCATTGAGCAGATGTCAGATGGAAATTATATCACCACTAGTATAGAAGAGAAGTCAGTGCTCCATCCTAAACTGGTGAGGAGCTAGGGGAGAAGTCCTTGGGGGATTTCCATCTGCAAATGATGGTGAGTAGAGCAAACTACAAATGCTTTTGAACTCACTTACACAGTGTAGGTAAAGTACTGTCAACTAGGGTATAGTTCTCCCAGGTAGAGGCAAACTGCACGAGCTCCTGGGTCAGGAGTGTAACCATTTCTTGGTGCAGAGCAGGACTGCAGTGTCCAGCAGAGCTCACCAGAAATGGAAAAGCCTTCCCTGAAATTCTTAACTAGCAAGGGAATATATCCATTCCAGCAGCTCCTACTACATGTACATGTTGAATATCGTAGGACAAAGAGCAAGAATAACTATAACTAGAATTATAACTCTGTTCCAACTACAAGTTCTTTCAAGAACAAAGCAAGCCAAGAATAGACAGAAATATTTACTGTCAACTGTATGTTCAAGTACAAGCAATTCTTATGTATAATCATCATCATTTCTGGGGAAAAAAGGTTAAGTAAGTCTGAGGCAGTGTATAAGGACTTGGATAAGTGCTCTCCCTGCCTTGGAAATAACTACCCTAAGCAGCAATTTGCAGATGACTGAAAGGAGCCAGGACAAGTGTTCAGGTGGGTAAGTGTCAGTGATGGCACCTGAGTGCTACTCAAGCAATCTCAGAGCAAGGCACAGTATTGACTTAAAAATACACTCAGTGCACAGCAAAGCATCTAATTGTCATATTTTGTGCTGCAGCAGTACAGAAACACTGGGGTGAGCCCAGCCCATGCTCCAGTGACAGCACTGCCAGACATCAGCAGTGTGTGGGGTGTTGAGGTTCTGCAGGGCAGAGAGAGGTGAGAAGAGTCCTTGGAGCTCTGCTACAAAATAAAATAACCTAAAGAGCAGGTGGATTTCAAAAGCTTCTGGTGTTTGGGAACTACTCTCTGCACTTCAGGCACTCCTGTAAAGGGATTTTGGTCACCAAAGTACTTTGACTCAGGGTTTTTCAGCCAAGCCCCCAGCAGGTGTGATGTTCCAAGCACAATCCCCCAGCACTTGTCACTGCTGCCTCGAGGCTGTGGGTAAAGCTTGTTCTTACCTTCTTGCCCCCTGGGGAGGATGTGTCAGGTGGTGGTGTGCTCGTGATGTTCAGTGGACTTGAGCCACAGCTGGAAGGTGATGATCCTCTTATCCTAAAAGATGGATAAAATAGGGTACAAATTTACCAGCAACTTAGAGACTCAGGGTCAGAGACTTGAGAGTTTCAAATGCTGACTTTTGTATCAGGTGCCATAAAGTGCTAAAAGCATGAAGTTAATTTTTGTGGTGTTTTCTCCCCTTTTCAATGCTCTTCAAACCAGCAGCAGCAATGGTTATTTGTACCCAGATAAGCAGTGCTGTGTAAATCCAGTTTGCTTTCCCTCCTCCCCACTCTGTTCTTATTCCCATACAGCTTTCAAAGAGAATCAGAAGGAAAAACCTCCTGGGTGCTGGGGACAGCCTCATTTTTTGGATTCACACTAGCTAAGAATTCCAGGTGCCTCCCTCAGTGAGCTACTGCCACAGAAGAACACTGGACACTTGATACAGTTATTTTTATTAACTGCTCAAAGCAGCATTTTTCACTCTGATTTTCCATAGCTTGATCAAACATCTTTAATAATGAATAATGTACTGACTGTAGAACCAACAAATCTCTGGACCACAGGGAGGGAGGGAGAGTTACAGAGAAAAGCAATGGAAATGGGAATCTTATGCTTGGCAGAGTTCCCTTGGGAAAGCTGAACAGAAGGCAGGATTGGAAAATAGTAACAGCTGCTGAAAAAAAGGACTGGAACTAACCCAGGGTCTGACATGAACTGCAAACAGGGATGGTGATCTGCACTGCTGCACCAGGACACTCACTGGGGCTAAATAAGTGTTTTACAGCTACTAAAAGGGAAGGTTAAGCTGCAAAGTATTGTTTAAGCCTTGGTGTGGCTTTTTGCTTTTTTTTCCCCCCTCCCCCATCTTTCTTCTTCCTATTCTCACAGACAGGAAGGAAGTTTTATGGATAGCTCTGCTGTTCCTTAGGCAAAGATGTAGGTGTAGTCTCCTGCCTGCAGCAGGAACAGAACTATGGGAAACACAATTGTATTCCTGAATTGCAGCTCAGTCTGGTGAAATTACTGCCACTAAACCTCTGCTGGGTGAGACCACTTCTATTAGGGAAGGGAACAATTCATAGAACCAGAGAATTTTAGGGGTGGGAATGGACCAGAGCAGGTTGCTCAAGGCTCATCAGGCCTGGCTTTGAACACCACCAGGGTTGGGGCAGCCACAGCCTCCCTGGGCAACCTGTGCCAGTGTCTCACCACCCTCACAGGGAAAAGCTTTTTCCTAATATCTAACCTAAACTTCCCCTCCTTCAGTTTGAACCCATTACCCCTTGT